TGTGTCTGTGTGTGTGTCTGTGTGTGTGTGTGTGTGTGTGTGTGTGTTTGTGTGTCTGTGTGTGTCTGTTGTGTGTCTGTGTGTGTTGTGTGTCTGTGTGTCTGTGTGTGTGTGTCTGTCTGTGTGTGTGTGTGTGTGTGTCTGTCTGTGTGTGTGTGTCTGTGTGTCTGTGTGTCTCTGTGTCTCTTTGTCTTCTCTGTGTCTCTTTTCTCTGTGTCTCTGTGTCTCGTGTCTGTTCTCTGTGTCTCTGTGTCTCTGTGTCTGTGTTCTGTGTCTCTGTGTCTCTGTGTCTCTGTCTCTGTTCTGTCTGTGTGTCTGTGTGTCTGTGTGTCTTCTGTGTGTCTGTCTGTGTGTCTGTCTGTGTGTCTGTCTGTGTCTGTCTGTCTGTGTGTCTGTCTGTGTCTCTGTCTGTTGTCTGTCTGTGTCTCTGTCTGTTGTCTCTGTCTGTGTCTCTGTCTGTGTCTCTGTCTGTGTCTCTGTGTCTCTGTCTGTGTCTCTGTCTGTGTCTCTGTCTGTGTCTCTGTCTGTGTGTCTGTCCTCTGTCTGTGTCTCTGTCTGTGTCTCTGTCTGTGTCTCTGTCTGTGTCTCTGTCTGTGTCTCTGTCTGTGTCTCTGTCTGTGTCTCTGTGTGTGTCTCTGTGTGTGTCTCTGTGTGTCTCTGTGTGTCTGTCTGTGTGTGTGTGTGTGTTTCTCTCTGGGTGTCTCTCCGAGTGTCTCTGTGTGTATGTGTGTGTTGGCGCGCGCGCGTGTGCTTTGGCATTGTAACGCCCAAGTTCACAGGACCGCCCTACAACATGCACAGAAATTAAATGACGACAAGCACTGCTAAGGTGTGGGAGGACGAGGAGATGGGTGCTCAGGTTGACACGCTTGTGAAGGTTAGGTGCAAGCTTTGCTGTGTTTGCCCGTCTTGAGGGGAGTTCGTAGCACATGGCTGTTGGTCCCAGAATTGTAACGCAAGCAGTTCCCAAGCTCTTGGGCTTCCCGCGTCATTGCAGGGTCTGTGCCCTAACCGTGCGGCCCCCCCAAAGCAGCTAAGGACACATTACGCGCTGAGCTTCCAAGATGCTGCGGCTGGGCTGACCGTGGGTGCATCACTTTTCCGCTGACGAGTTTGCAACGTAAGTGCAGGGCCTAATGGTTACTACACGGCCCAGTCAGCTAGGAACCCAAGGAACTGAAGCATGCACTCATTGAGCCCTCAATCTTGCAGAGCTCAGGACAGCGCAGCCCAGATTTTTGCAGAGCTTTGCTGGGGCCCCGGGTACCTTCGTGCCTCGAGAGTTGGGTTGTTCTGGGACAGACTGCTGGAAGAAGCCTGCGATTTTCAAGATGGAGGACTTGACGCATGAGGCAGGAAAATCTTGCTTGGCCGAGGTGGTGAGAAGGTGTGGCCCTTGTCACCTGTGGAGCATCTTCCCAGTCCAGGCTGCTATAGGGCTAGCTTCGGCTCTGGGTTTGTATAGCTACAGCCGTGCTTAACTCAAAGACTGTGACCCATCATTGTATGATTGCCAATAGCACCGGCTGCCCATCCAATGCAAAGCCAAGCCGAGCTGAGGTCGTCTGGTCCGGCCAACGCAGCAAGTTTTCAACAATTTGTACTCATATTCTGGAAACCTTACGAACCACGGCTTGTTAGCAGCCGCGCAAGTCACAGGTCGGTTTGAACCTAGCGCTTGGAAATGCGAGCGGATCTTGCGTAGACAGCAGCTTGCACTTTACAACTTTACAGCCTCTATCTGCAGCCTGTCCAACACAAGAAACGCCATCGTGTAGCAGCTGCTTGAACTTTTCACGAAAGCATGATGTTATTTACAGCATCTGTCGCTCGTGGACAGCCAGAAACGCTGCAATTTACATCGAACTTCTTGGAAAGCTTAGAACAGTCGCGCCTTGAAATGCGTTCGGAGCATGTCGGAGCGTGGGTGCAGCCACCAAGGGGGCAATCTGCTGCAATATGTTTGAGGCTGCCCAAAACCTGGCAATGCAGTAAATTGCAGCATGTGGAGCCTCTGCACAGCAGCAACACGTTTATAGCTGTTTGAGCTTGTGTGAAGATGCCCAATACTTGGACATGCTGTAGCTTGCAGCAGTTGATGCCTCTGAGCAGTCAGGCACAGGGAGCCAAACCGAGCAAAAATGAGGAGAACCAGACCTAACAAACACACCTCCGCCTACTGGTAGCAAGGGTGTTGCATGTTCAGCATGAACTTTGGGCTGTGTGCTGCTTGTTGGGTCTCAGCAGGCATTGCACCAGAGTAGTGCCAAGGCTGCCAAGGCTTTCCTAAAGACCTGGAGTTTCGGGGCTGTTGACGATGTTGACTGAGCGGCCTGGGTTTAAGGCCAAGCGTCTGCTGCCTCCACCAGAGACACAGAGTTTGGGACACAGTTTCTGAGGGTTTGGCAAGCAGTAGCTGCGCGTTCATCATAAGACCCACGGTCAGTAAGCTGCATTGAACCTTGCATGACGGAGGGCATTACACGAGAGGCTTGAATACACAGTTCGAGGCAGCCTTGTGGGTTCGAGGCATCGAGACATCTCTATTGGAAATGTCTGGCCGCGCGGCCGTGCTGGAGCACGGCTCCCACCAGCGCCGGCGCGGCATGCAGCGCGCTCGGCCCAAGTCCGGGAAGTCCTCGCTGGACTGGTCGCCGGAGGCAGTGAGGGATTGGCTGACGGAGGCGGGCCACGCCGGAGTCGGTGAAGCCGCACTGCGCCAGGAGGTCTCGGGCTCCGCATTGCGCTTCCTTGGCCACGAGGGCCTTCAGGAGCTTGGCGTCGAAAGTGCTGTGGAGCGTGCCAAGCTGCTTGGCCGTTTGTCTCAGCTGGGGTCAGAGGCACCAAGCGTGGAGCCAAAGTGGCAGGAGTTGCGGCGGCCGCTGCCGGAGATTTCCCGCCGCAAGCCCCGTTCTGCGTGGAGCCGGGTGAAGCAGGTGGCGGCCGTATTCGACAACTTGGCCTGGGCCGACCACAAGAAGCCATGGTTCGAGCACCTAGCAATGTCGGGGAGGTCACCCGATGCAGTTCGTGAGACTCTGATGTCACAGCTGGACAGCTACAACCTCCTGACCCTCCTCCTGCTTGCCACAGTCCTCCCCACTTCCGTGTCCATTGGGGTGGAGCTGAAGTGGGATGCGGATGGGATGCCCCAGTCACAGATCAAGCTGGCATGCCTGATTTACAGCATAATGTATAGCATCGTCATCTTCTTCCACTTCTCCTTCGTTCACATCACATCTGTGCTGGTCGCCGACGTGAGTGCCGCCAACTTCCAGCTGTTCTTGGACGCGTTCGGCACTGATCTGATGGCTGATGTAGGCATATTCTTCCTGGTGATATACTTCAGTTTTTTCCCCTGGGTTCTTCTGTCGATGGCCGCGGTAATTGGTGAGTCTGCTCATTGGATGGTTTGGGCCATTGCGTATCCAGGAGTCCTTGTTCCAGTTGTTTTCCTTCTGTTCTTTGCTGCAAAGTTGCTCGGCAAGGACGATTCGGGCCGCAGGCCGCGGCTGGCAGATGCGGCGGTCCTTAATCTGCGACCTCTGCTGAGGCTGACGCTGCACTGCGGCCTCCTCTGTGTGGCTCCAGTGGACATGGAGGGGGTCCCTCGGGATCGGAGCTCCCTACTTGAAGCTCTTTCGCAGAGGGCTACAGAAGTTGCGGCAGCTCCTGGGGAAACGGACATGTCAGAAGATTGTAAGTCACCGGAGCCTGAAGAGGAGGAGGAGGTGGAACAACAGCTCGCGCAAGCTGTTCTCTAGTACTGTGTAGATGCCATTCCGTGCCTTGGCAGCTCTGCAAGCAGCTTGACCATGGCACTGGGCGCTTGCCACAGAAACATCCAAACGGGATTTGAGCAGGCATGCTGCATCTTGAAGCCCAAACTATTCAGGTAGACGGGCTTAAGGACTCGAGTTTCAGGAAAAAAGCGTCCCAATGTGGACATGTGCGCGTGGACCCAGCTCATGCTCAAAGGCAACTTGAGGCCACGATGCCAAAATGAGAAGCGAAGGAGTTGCCTGCAAGCTTGCCGCACTTGCTGCATCAAGTGGCATGAAAGAACCATTTCAGTACATCCCATAGCACACATCCCAGCACCCCTAGCCTTCATGAACGGACTGTTTTCAGGCTTGTTCAGAAGATGCCAGAATTTGTGGCAGTCCAGGCTCTTTCGGCGTGTGTTCAATATTCCCCCCGAAGCCACCGGGGTTCGGGTTCGATTTTGTGTCCTGTTCGCAGCTGTTGGTCTTGAAAACCCACGCAATGTTGACAGAGGGAGTTGCGGAAATCTCCATGACAGGAACGTATGCAATACGGTAGGCGTGCAGACTGGCTAGAGCACTGATAAGGAACGGCACAACCTTCTTAGTGTGCAATTTCTTTTTCCTGCAGGATCATAACAGTATAGAGTCGCTGCTGTGGAGATCTCTGGCCGCGCGGCCGTGCTGGAGCACGGCTCCCACCAGCGCCGGCGCGGCATGCAGCGCGCTCGGCCCAAGTCCGAGGAGTCCTCGCTGGACTGGTCGCCGGCGGCTGTGAGGGATTGGCTGACGGAGGCGGGCCACGCCGGAGTCGGCGAAGCCGCACTCCGCAAGGGCGTCTCGGGCTCCGCACTGCGCTTCCTTGGCCACGAGGGCCTTCAGGAGCTTGGCGTCGAAAGTGCTGTGGAGCGTGCCAAGCTGCTTGGCAGTTTGTCTCAGCTGGGGTCAGAGGCACCAAGCGTGGAGCCAAAGTGGCAGGAGTTGCGGCGGCCGCTGCCAGAGATTTCCCGCCGCAAGCCCCGGTCTGCGTGGAGCCGGGTGAAGCAGGTGGCGGCCGTATTCGACAGCTTGGCCTGGGCCGACCACAAGAAGCCATGGTTCGAGCACCTAGCAATGTCGGGGAGGTCACCCGATGCAGTTCGTGAGACTCTGATGTCACAGCTGGACAGCTACAACCTCCTGACCCTCCTCCTGCTTGCCACAGTCCTTCCCACTTCGGTGTCCATTGGGGTGGAGATGCAGTGGGATGCGGATGGGATGCCCCAGTCACCGATCAGGCTGGCATGCCTGATTTACAGCATGATGTATAGCATCGTCATCTTCTTCCACTTCTCCCTGGTTCACATCACATCTGTGCTGGTCACCGACGTGGGTGCCGCGAACTTCCAACTGTTCCTGGACGCGTTCGGCACGGATCTGATGGCTGAGGTAGGGATATTCTTCCTGGTGATCGTTTGGGGTTTCCTTCCTTGGGTTCTACTTGTGCTAGCTGCACAACTTGGGGGGTATGCTGCTTGGATGGTGTGGGCCATTGCATATCCTTGCACCATCGTCCCAGTCGTCTTGATATTGCTCTTTGCTCCCAAACTGGGCAAGGACGACTCAGGCCGTAGGCCACGGGTGATGAACGGATCCATGCTTTCTTTGCGGCCTCTGCTACGGCTCACCATGCATTCTGGACTCCTTTGCGCGGCTCCAGTTTGCACTGATGGAGTGCCTCGCGATCGGGCTTCCCTTCTTGAAGCTCTGTCACAGAGGGCCTTGGAGAAAAGAGCCGAGGCGCCAGAAGCGGAAGCCTGTGATGCGGTGGAGTATGAGCAGCTAGATAAAGCTTCTTTGTAACCGTGGTTTTGATGCGCTTTGGAAGCTGTTTCGCTTCAAGATGCTTCAAGACCCTGCTACATCAAGGCGAGCAGAAGAAGGAGGAAGCCTATGTATCGTTTCCAGACCCGCTGAGGTTCCATATATGACGCGCGACATCTAGCGGTTGTAGCGTCTCGCCGAAGTTGTTACGCAACAGCTCCGTCAAAGAGAATGTTAGGCGCTCCGGCACTGTGCAAAGCACGGACTCGGAATAAAGATGCGAAGCACATTTCGTTGTCCACCACATTGAAGTGATTGCAATCACCTCCTGAAGCCCGAGGCACTCTCTGAAAACAGAGCAAAAAAAGGTCTCTCAACAGAGAGGCGCTCTCTCTCTCTCTCTCTCTCTCTCTCTCATGTCGAGCAAGCATGGGGCCGAATGAAGTGGCCGAGAGCAGCGTGTTTGCCCGACCCCCCCCCGCCCCTCGCCCTTCCCTGCACTCAGATGGCGCACGTACATGGGTGTATTCCCTGCCTTATGTGCATCCTGTGAATGCAACTTCTGGCACTGAGATCTTGAAGAGCTTGCCCGCTGCCTGTCCTTCGCTTCTTGGCCGAGCTTGAGTGCTTTTAAAAAGCCTGCAACTGTAAGGGCCTACCAGCAACATTCCCAAGTCTTGGAGTTCAGGGTTTATGTGCATGCCAATATAATCCGCTGCAGGTGCTGCACCAGCAGATTACTGGCGGTCGTTTTGCAGCTTCAGGGCATGAGATCCACACATTCCACACCCTTTGCCCAAAGCGGTTTCTTGATAACAGGAGGGTCCCTGTTTCTGTTCTTTGAGGCCTAAGCCCAACCCGGCCGCGGCAGCACCTCAGGTGCCACCAGCCTACCGACAGCAGCTGGCCTGCGAGTGCATGGACCCCCAATTCATCACCGCGCTTCGGCAGGCTGCCCTGTGACGGTTTTGGCCTGGCTCGGAGAAGAAAGTAGCAGGAATCTAGTACGCGTCAGATATGCGTATATCAGATTTCCGAGTCGCAGCCGGTGACTTCACAACCGCAAGCAGAAGAACAACCAGCGGCATGTGTAACCTCTTGTGTTATAGGACCTTGACTTCTCCAGCTGAACAAAGTTGGGCCAGGCTTTTCACACAGCGGAAGATGCCGGCGCTGAGCAGGAGCTCGTTTCGAGCTTAGACATGTTATGCCCTCAAGAAAAGAATCATAAACAATCAGGATGGCCTGTGGTTTTTAGGGTCGGGTCGCCAACCCAAAACCAACTTCTGGAGTGGAGGCATCGATCCCCAAAGAATCTATCCTGTCATGATGCGGCCAGGAATTAGTTTGGCTTTGGTTCATCGCCAAGGGCGCAGCGACCTCGGGTATGGAAGGCCCATTCAGCACTCACATGTCTGTATTGCCATGCTTCCATCTCCCGAAGCAAATCTCAGGAGAAGAGCCGAGAAGTTCAAGAATTCACTGCTTGAGTCAGTCTGCCAGCATGTTTTCGGTGCTTCGCCCGACTTCTTCCCTCACTAAATGTGGAACTCCAACCAGTTTCTGAATTCTGAATTCTGAAGGGTTCTGCAGTGCAGCTCTTCGAACTCGGGAAATCGTACTCTCAGGTCATCTCTGGCCTCAGCACCAACTTGTCAGCTATCTCTTTCAGTGTCCGGTAGGTCCAGTCTAATGGTAGGAGGGCTCCCAAAGAGCCTGCGGCTCACTCGGACTCTGGAAACTGGAGGCTCTTGCGCGCACAGTCTCCTTCGCTGCATTCTGTTGTCTTGACGCCGGGCTTCCCACGCGAGAGTTCGAACTGTGCGCCTCCCTTGTGCCGAGCATGGATGTTTGTCTCGGCTTGCAGCTTCATGTACGGGACTTGTGCACACAAGGTGCGCGGCGCTGCAGCTCCAGAGACCTTTCTTTCCATTTCGCTTGATTTCACTTTAATTTCTCATTCTCATTTCATTTCATGCGTCCATTTCGCTTGACAAATTGCACGTGTGTCGCCAATCCCTGTGTTCTTGCTCCACCACATCATGACTGTGTGATGCAAACCGGGATTGTTGGACGACGTCTTCTAAAGTCAGGTGCTCCCTTCGCTGAGCACTTGTGTGGTTTGGGTGGTCGTGTTTGCGGTCGTTTCGCCACGTCCAAGCTCAAAGAGTTATCAGCAGCTGGATCAGAAGCAAAGATCTTGGTTGGTTATTGCTGTAGATGTAAAGCCGAAGCAATGTCATACTCATCATGTTATGTCCATGTCGTTGGCGTGGAAAGCCTTGCCAAGGTTTTCTTGTTGGCGAACCAGCGAGTCACCCAGCGGTACCTGAGGTGCCTGCTACTGCCTGATAATGAGATGCAGACTGGTAGGACGTCGAGACTTACATCTCTCGACATTTGGAAGCTGTCATTTGGCATTTTCTAGCATCAGTTCTCACCTTGCCGAAATCGCGCAGGCATAGTGAAGGTGTCTTGGTTTTTCCTCAAGCAGTACTTGGCACTCTGGGGTCCTGGGGTCCATACATGAAGGGTGCAGGAAGTTGATCGTGCCCCCGAATTCGCGCAAAAGTGCACGGACTGTCATCGCTTTGGGGATCGTGACACTGCATTGGGGTTTTGGGGGGATCTTGGAGTGCTCTTGGGCTGTGCACTTCGAATGCTCTTCGTGGTCTGGCCCATTCTGGAACCCACTGAAGCCGTCGAATGTTCCTCGGTGGTCTGATTGACGAAGCTTCTGTTCCGGGTGATAAGTACGCTTAAATCTTCATATCTCCGGACTGCCACACTGTTCATGGAGGCACGACATTTACGAGGACGTGATGGGCATGCTTGAGTACGATGACGGCACACTTCTCAGACGTTCATTTGCACGCTGGCCTGACCTGGCAACCAGGGGCCAGACAATGGTTCTGAGCTTTTTAGACGTATCATATCCGCGAACTCGGACGTGCGTCTGATCGCATCCCAGAAGGGGCTAGCAGCTAGTGAGAGGCAGTTGTCAAGGCAATACTACTGCATTGCCACAACATTCCCAACAGATTCCTGGAGTTCGAGGCATACCGGCAGAGAAGCGCATTTGTCACCGACAAATGCTGAAGGCGAGACAGTTGTGGGCCGAAGAGATAGTCACAAACAAGAGTGGCGTGAAGTACAACTCGTGAAGTACAACTGTATTGTGGCAGCCAGTGTCATTCCATCGACACTCCTACACTGCGTGCACGATTCAGAGCTCTGTTTGTAGGTTGCTCTCTTTTCGTTTGAGGGGCATAGAAGACTCTTTCTATGTGCCGGGTTTTGCAGACAGAGAGGTCAGAAGTCTCAGTGAAGAAGTGCGTGTTTTCCTGTCGCCAGATGCAGCCAGGTGGCTGTCCGCTTCAAAGAGGTTCGGAGCTTGGGACAAATATCGAGCAGCCGAGCAAAGGCACAAGACAGGACAAGCAAGAAGGAGGGGGCCGTGTATTATACAACCTGTGAGAAACCGTACTGCCGGTAGCTTCAGGACGAGGCTGGGGTTTGATTGGACCTTCCTCGAAAAGAGGATGTCACCTTTTCGTTGCTTTCAAGGTCTTGGCCTTCCAAGACGCTGAGATGTCTGGGCGCCTGGCAGCTTTTCCCGAGTCAACTTGGGTGCTTTTTGGGTGGACTTTGTGCTTGCTGGATGCCAAAGAGCTTGTCCCGTAGTGTGCCTAGAGCTTGCAACTTTGCGTGGCTGCGGGTGTGTGCGTGCTGAAAGGCTCAAGAAGGCTTGTGCAAGCGCTCTCTTCCTGCTTTTGCATCCCTCACGGTCTTTTGGCATCGTTTTGGTGTGGTGAGTTCAGTGTATCTAAGACGGCCCTTCCAGATCTTTGGCAGGGCGCAGCCTCCTTCGTCAAATTTCGGAGCGCGTGTATGAACGACTTACATGTCAAGCTTGAAGATCTGCAGAAAGTGTTGAGACACCCAGGCTGGAACTGATCCACCTTAACTACCGTTTGCCAGCGACTCAACTCTTTGTGCCTTTGTAAACAAGAGAAGTGCATGCCTGCTGCTCCTCATTACCCAGGCCTTGCCCTTGATTCATGAACACAAGCGGCTCGCCATCCAGCAAGACCAACGTGACCGAGTAACACGAACACGGGCATCAGCTGTCCATGTTTGGATTGTTTGCCTGTAGAAGACTCTTGCACGGAGTCAAGTTGCAAGAGCTGTGCTTGGGACGAGGCAGTACCTGAAAGACCATGTGCGCTGGCCTCGGACCAAAGGTGAATCCCACCCACTAAAGGTCATTGTGACATTGCCTGAAGAACAGACATCGTCGCAACCTGCTGAGCAGGATTTGTCAATAGCGACCTTCAGGTTTTGATCCCACGGCCCATTCACTGCTTCGTAATGTTAGGCATCCAGGCAAACACTAAGCCATTAAGCTGTATCGGGCTGGGCGGTGGGTTTGATGGTCAGGTCGAAACGTTTTGAAGTTCATCGAAGGAGTTTGAACTTGAGCTACCGGTTGAGCATGGAGTCGCGCTACAGCAGGTTTGTGCTGGCCGCCTATCTTGGAAGGTTGATGTGACCAAGGCTACCACGTGTTCTGGACGATGCGTCCTTCGCATCGCTGCCCAGAGCTCGGAGTCTAGGGTTTAGGGTTTAGGGTTTGGGGTTTAGTGAGTAAGGTTGAAAGAAGAAGTTGAGGTGCCGTGGGCTTCAGCGTTACTCACCGGACAGGCCACAAAATAAAAGCCATTTCCGGGTTCGGCTGCAAACTTTTGATTCGCGATTCCGGTAGCGTTTCCAATGTTCGCTCAGTCCTTGCTGGTGACCATATGGACATCAAGGGTGTTTAAGGGTTCAGCGAGTTTTTCAGAAGGCCGCATACAGTCTAAATAAAGTCTGTGCCAGGGGCTACAGTAGCCGAGCGCACTTGTGTCCGCCGGCTGGCTCAGCTGCTTTACCTGCTACTTTACGTGCTTGAGATGGAGCAACCGGAAGGAACCATGGCCAGCAATGCTTTGCTTGAGAAGTTCCACAGCTCACGATCATGGCTAGCTGTCAGAGATGCAATCTATGCCTTTCAGGGGTGCTGAAAGGCCTCCATGTTTCAAAGCTACTGGCTGCTACTGTACCTGGCTAAGTGCTTAATCCAAGGAGCCGGGAATGGTCAAGCATGGACAGAGCCGGTGGTGGACCTTCCGCACATGGTGCCTTGTCCGCTACATGGCATCCGAATTCTTTGGAGCCGCGACCTGCCTTCGAAGAATGGATCCCCCCCCTGTCGGAGAACTGCAAGAGATCGGGGAGGTGGATTCCATGCCGCAGAATCTTAAGGTCTTAGGGGCCCTGAAGCTATAGGTCAACGAAGACGCGGTCAGCGCCATCAACGCCGCCCCGGCCCCGGCCAAGGCCAGCCCATGCCAGCAGCGCACAGGCCCAAATTAAATCCCCCAAAAACCTGTGGTTGAAGGTTTATTTAGGGTTTAGGGTGTAGGCTCGTCCACTTGACAAGTACCGAAAGGCGTCTCCGCTCGGAGGTTGCCACATACACAAATCACAGAAGGAAGTCGTAATAGAAGGGAGCATATACCTTGCACGAGTGAGGTAAGGTGTCTGGTGGATTCCAGGTGCATGGGTCCATGCGGGCATGACTTTACAAAGCAGTTCGCGGCCAATATGACAGGTCGCTGATGAGATCGATGGGGATGAGGAGCATTGAGTGCCATCAGTGCCATCATCATGCGTCGTCGCCTTAACTGCCAAAAATGCAAAACGCCGAAAATCGGAGCTGAATTCTAGATCTGCCGGAATTCCCTGAAAGTGATGTACCTACCAGTGCAACACATCGGACGCCCCCCCCCCCCCCCCATGTGCGTACATGCGCTTGACCGAATCCTAAGCATAAGCATAGCGTCAGCTTTGGGCATATCAAACCGTCATAGTGAGTATCCAGGCCTTTCATGTGCACAGAGTGAAGGCGGATCCAGCCCAACACAATGGATTTGGAACCGGGTTTGATGGAAAGCCTTCAGCTCGACAGCAGTTAGACTCGCAGCTGGACAATTTGGACAGGAGCTGTTGCCGGCCACAGAGCCAGTGAAGGAAGAGGCTGCCGTCAAGGACACTGCTGCGGGGGCCGTCGTCCATCGCCACGTGTGTTCTCACACCTCCGACGCGGTGTAAGATGCAGTGAGCTTGCCATCCGAGAGTGCCCGAGCCACAGAGCCGGGCAGAGGGCTCTGTGCTATGTGCTTTGGAAGTTTCTCGTCATGCACCCGAGATTCAAAGGCTGCACAAGTCCAGAACGTAGCAGACTTTCACAACATGTCACCACTTTGGTCGCTACGAGTCAGGGATCCTAGGGCCTTGTTACCTTGTTGCTGTGAGTGCTATGCCAAAATTATGACTGCAATTGTCCTGCACCTTCTGGCCCATGAAACTGAAAAGGGACGTCCTTCCCAATTCCCACTGGCCCCCCCAGAGCGTAGGACAAGATTCCATCGGCTTCACTCTGCAAGCTGTTTTCCATGATCGAAGCTGTGGACGCGGTGGTGCTCTTCTTCGGCGTCATAGGCGGAAGCCATACGGAGACGAAGCAAATACCCTCCTTCAAGATGTACACGACTTCTCATCCTAGCACTTGATGCGTCTGGGTTTCAGGCAATCTCGAATCGCTCGTCTAAACCCTCTTCCGCCTCATCTTTGCAGGTGCTGCCGGAAACGGCCTGGCGCAGCCACTGACGCTTTGCTTCAGTTGGCTCCGAAAGCAGCAGCTGGGGTGATAGGGATGAGAGGGAATTGGTTCTGCTTGTTCCTGGCCCGGCTGTTTCCGATGCTGACAATTGGGCCGGGGTATCTTTCATGTACAGCTAGAGCAGTCGAGGAACTGCAGCGCTTTAACTTCCAGTTGAAATATGTTGACATCCTTGGGCTCTTTGGCTCGTTTGGTGAGTTCCGGTGAACGCATGGCCTGGTCCAGGATGTGCATCGTGTTCGGAGACCTCATCGATGGCATGGGAAGCAACGCCGTGGGGCTGCCGCTTGAATCTGAGCTGTGATGCAAGGCTCGCCCATGTAAAATCTTGATCAACCACGAGGGCGAATTTTGTTGGGTTGATGGCAAGTATCCTGTTGTAGCAGCGGTTCTTCCGAGCCAAGGTCGCCGGAGATGCTTGCGGCAGGCTCCCGGACAGAGTCGGACGGAGCGCACCGGACTTTCCTATACATAGGCGCTACATAGGTGAGGGACGTCGGCTCCATGCATGGCATGTGTGAGAAGGATTGAGAAGGCCGTGCTACCCCGAAGCATTGAGGCCCTTGATTCCTGATGAAACCAGACGACCCACAAGTTCCAGTGTTCCGCTGAAATATGTAGATCTTGGTTTGGCGGTGAACGGAAAGCTGATTGGATCTTTGAACGGTTGAACGTGTTGAATTTAGGATGTCTTGCGAACACTTCCAAGAGTAAGCCATGCACGTCTGCCCACGATGGTGAAGGCATGGAGACTATGATGACAAAGATGCAGGCGACCCACCAGACATCGGATGTGGTTTGGGTCACGGGTTCATGGTTAAGTACACTTCCTAAGTCCCACTGACACCCCTATAAGCGAGTGGGCAGCTGAGAGGGCGGTGGGATGCGGTGGGCATATCCTGGGCGGATGAACTTGCCGTCCTTGCCCGGGCCCTTTTTATGCTCTGGAAACGGGGCCCAAGAAACAAACAAGACCTACCGCTTGGGCGCGGCTGGGACGGGGTGGGCGGGGGTGGGGGGGATGGGGAGTGGAGAAGAGGAGGAATAACATGAGGGGACAGAAGAGAGAAGGCTTTATTTTGGCTCAAGTCGGAAACTTGGCCTCCCCGGCAAGACCCATCGCACGGGCCGTTGCCCGTGCCCTATGCCTTCCAACTTCGCTGTTTCTGGATCGAGCAGAGGGGGGCCCCAGCCACTGTAGTGCAGCGCATCAAACATCTCTGACTGCGCACCGAGCGGCAAGTTGAGGCATAAAGCACTCAAAGAGATCCAACAAACCAAGGGAAAGACATGGCAACAGGACAACCCGACGCACTCGCCACAGAAACAAGAGGTACACAAGACGAAAGGAATGGCCCAAAAGAGAGCACGAAGCGGGTAATTCTAGGTATAACGAAGGGAACTGTGCCAAGACTTTCCGCCGACTAAGGCTGTTTCCGGACTGTGGCCCGCATGACTGCGCAATCAAAATACACGATTTTTCAATGCAAAGACGTGAACAACTTCTCCTTGACAGTACTGGGCTACCAACGGCCATCGCAACCGCCGAGGTGCATCATCTTTATTGCGAACTTTCACCTTTGTTATCTTCTTTCTTCTCTTATTGTCAGCTCTCATATGTGGGGCTGCTGTTGTTCTTAATCTGCATGCTGGTTACTACTAGGCCCTGTAAACCGGCTGAATGCGATCGTGCTGATCGGGAGAGAGAATCATTTCTTCATTGCCACATCAACTTTGAAGCATCACGGCACCATGACCTCCCGCGACCGCAGGAACTGAGCATCACCATGTGCCTCGTGGGCCTTGGCTCCTTCGTCGGAGCCTCGCTTCAGGCTCACAAGAAATCGTGCGGAGATGTGTTGCGGATTCTGGAGGCAGAAGCGGCCATGAAGCAGCCGCGTTGTCTTTTCTTTCGCGCCTTCTGCCCACGTGTTTTGAAGCCAGGGGTCTTGCTTCAAGATCTTCGCCGAACGGCAGGCGCTGAAATACCGTTCTTTGCCTTTCGGGCTGCATCAGTTGTAGCACGAGGTAGTTGATTATGAGAACTGTAGTCATGCGTCTGTTGGGTGTAGGTCATTGAGTCAATGAAGCTTTAAATTCTAAGATGTTCTAAGGCTTATTCTGAGGGCATTCAAGCTCAAAGAGGCTTTAGACCCTTTGTCTGCCTGAGTCACGTCAGAACCTCGTATCTTCCAGCCTTAGCCCGCTCTCTAAGCTGTGCCGAGCCCTCAGGTACTTCGACGCAGTACTGCACCAAGACGTCGGCTGGTTTGACAAGAAGGCATGAGCGGATGGGATGGATCAGTCAGGTTCGGGTCTAGACACAGGCTCCAGAAGACCAAGCTTCAGTGTTTGGGCTGGTTCCATCAATAGTCAACTGGTCTCATGAGAGCTGCTAACTCCATTTAAGTGGCAGGAGATTGCTGCGCTCCCAGCGGAGATCAATGATGACCTTGAGAAGATTCAGGATGCTTTCGGTGACAAGCGCCCCGCATGCAGATTGAAGATGCCCCGCTCAAATCGGATGATTGCGTCGGATGATGATCTTCCTTTGATTGCCACGCTTGACAGCTGCTCACTGTAATTCCTCAAGCGTGCCAACGCCAACGCCACAGAAGAAGCAAGCGCCCACCCAGTCCGAGTTGCTTTTAAAGGGTCTCTTCATGCTGAGGTTTGGCAATGGGATTATGTCTCTGGCAGCATTCTTTGGCGGCTTTGGCTGTGCATTTGGCATGGGCTGGCTGATCGCCCTTGTGTGTCTTGGCATCGATTGCTGCCATGGGTAACCTGGGGTCCAGGCTGAGGGTGCATGAGGGCTGCATTGCAGGCCATGCTGATGATTGCACGCTATAGCCGAAATAGCGCTTTCGTTCGAGCCTTCTACACCAAAAGTTCCAAGCTACAGCATGGCCTTCCGAACCTTTCCTTGACAGCCTTGCCCTATATAGGCTACAAATCCTCAGCCTTTTCAATTACGCCTTTTAACACATTGACACCCTTGACACTGTGACATGCTTGAACACATGTGAATAGTTACCGCTAACACATCTTGTACCACCCTTCCAACAACCACTTTCAACCACACCCTTGACACGCTTGAGCACACGTTGACGCGCTATTGCCATACTTTGAGCGCACGCTGGACACAGTTCTCAGCATGTTAACCGCAACGCAGATTTAATTTCACACCAGGAACCTTCTGTTGGACCTGATGTGACAACTTTTTGACATGCTGCTTTGAATGTCAAGCGCAAATCTCGAAAAATCGCCACAGCTTATGTGCAGCAAAAAGAGCCCCCCACTCCCGGTAATTTTCGTGGACTCCTGTGATAGCTTCGAAGCATATCTTCGAAGCTTCAGACTGCTCCAGAATGCGAGAAAGTGACTCGAAACGGACGGAGAAGATGGAGAAAGGTTCTGTACAGCGCGTGCTCATCAATGATTAGGCATCTGCAGCGTGTCTCTGTGTTCTGATGCCCCGTCTACCACAGGATGTGCGCCATCCTTCCCTTCATGGGAGTTGGCGCCATGGTTATGGGCCAGGCAATCCAGGAACCTCGGCGAGTGCAAGCTTCGGGGGCGCATGACGGATACATTTTCCGAAATCGGTTGGGGGTCTGGGGTTGAGGCGAATCGTTGCCCTAGCGTCTGCAAGTGTTCGCACGTATCCGCGAATCGGCGGCTGCAGTTGCAAAGTCTTGGTGTCATTGCCATGTGACAGTTGCAGCAGTCGGACGTGGTGGGGTCGTGATCCTCGTAAGTGTCATCGACTTTGGAATCAGAAGACGCAAGACGCACCGAGCACACGACACGAGACCCTTGCGAGTGCTGACACTCGACCGGCGATCCGAGGGTCCAACAATGAGCGCGAAGCCAGGTTTCCAAGTTTTGGACCTAAACTTGGATAACCTGGCTTCGCGAGTCAAAAGTGCCGACAATTGCACGGGAACATGTCATTGTCGTCATTTTTTAACCCTGGATCGCCGTAGCATGTCAGCACGCGCGCAGGTGTGTCGGGTCTTCTTGTGGTTTGCGGGCTCCATCAGGTTGAGTTTCTTTCAGGGTCGGAGCTTTTGCCTTGGGGGGGTTCAGCAGAGCTCGTTTGAGACAGTTTGGCGTTGTGGTGTACGTTTGCAGCTTGGTGCTCGGCACGACAACTAAGTCAGTCGAGACGTAGATCAGCTGTCCTGTAGTTGTTCAGCATGCGTCAGACCCAAAACATGCTGAATGTGCATATGATCGAATCTGCGCAGCCGAGGAAATCATGCTGGAGTCGCAGAGCTGGCAACCCTGCTGCCATCAGACATGCTAAGGGCTGACAGAGGCATTTCATCTAACAAGTCCGGGAGTCACGACATGCACCCTGTATGGTCACAGGTGCAGGAGATCTAGAGGTTTGATGCAAGGCAAATCACTCTGCCGAGGTATGCCAAGGCGTCAGCTGTTGTTGAGGAGACAGCATCTGCCTACAGCATCTGCTTCACACTCGTGGAACGCTTCGCCCCTTAATCCTTGCAAGGCAGCCCACGAGCATTCCCAGGCGCTAGTGTTATCCTCCTGCTACTTCTGGGGGATGTGCTATCTTTCATGGTCTGCCACTGAGAGCAGCCTCCAGGAGTGCCTCTACGCCATGCGCACGGTTGTGGCCTTTGGTGGAGAGCACCGCGAGCTGAAGTGCCCCAGCTTACAGGTTCCAAATGAGGTGAAGCTTGGGGCTGGGTACAGAACGGCCACACCATATGTGCCCACTGACCTCGGCGGCGCACCGCAAAGTTTGCAGGCTTTCGGTGCACCCACCTCGAAGCGTTTGTTCAGGGATTGGTCTGGCTTGGGAGGCGGCTTGGTTGGCACAGCTCTGCTCTCAAAAGATGAGGAAGTTTTCGGCGGCCTTGGTCCACACTCGGCGTGGGGGCATCAGGAACGGCTTCAAGGTCGATGGCTTACAAGTGCGCTTTCAGAACGGCTTGGTTCTCGGTTGCTCTCCAACCAAGCTCATTGCAGTCAGGTTGGCATGGGCATGGGCTACACGATGATGATCGTTTTTTTGGGCTACGCTCTGGCCTTCTGGCCGCCTGTCAAGGAAAGACTGTACCCTGGAGTATCAACAAGCCCCACTGTTAGCCCAGACACTTGTTTTGTACGGCATGCAGCAGCTTCAGGAATTCACTTTGGCATTGACATGCTTTGAATCCTCACAGTACCAGTGCCATTGACCTTTGGGTAAGGTTCGGCATGACGCTCCGCTACCACGACCAGATAAACCCAGCCACAGGCATGCACAGGATGTGGAGATGTTCAAACACAGCAGAAGCTCGAGAGTCTTGCTCTACGTCTTGCTCTCTTAGGGTCCTGTTTCCTCAAGTCATTGCCTCTCTTGTGAGTTCTCGTTCAGCAGTTCAGAGCGGTTTATTGGTCGTGCAACATCCGAAGTGGAGAGGCGAGCTGTGGAATCCCGGCACCATCATGTCCATCTTTTTCTGCATCTTCATCGGGAGCTTCATGATTGGGAACCTCGACCCGAGCTTGAAGGCAGGACTATGGGACTCCTGAACCTATCTGAACGGAAGAGTCCAAAAAGGCACAGAGGCTTTATCGGTCAGCCCAGCTGGTTTCTCATTGCATGTCCAACCCCCAACTCCTAAGACTCCCAGACTCTTCCAAGGTGATGTGAGCAAGGATTCACAAGGGCACAAACATTTTCAAAACCACTTCCCCTAGCTTCTCCAGCCTGGTCAGGTAATCAGCAGGTTGGGGAGCTGCGAGGTGAATAAAAAAGCACAACTTTCGAGTGAAAATGTCGCTCAAACAGGCCATGAAGGCGGCGCAAGCCGCAGCTGGGCGTTTCTACTCCGTCTTCAACAGCAAGCTGCTTGGTTCTGGCAGAGTCGGTCCAGAGCCCCATGGCCCATGCCGACACACCCGAAGGGTTGCCATGCTTTTGAGGCGTCGGTGCGATTTAAGACTCGGCTGGCCACTTTTTTCTCCGGCATACGTCGCAGCTGCTTTGCAGGACTTGTTGTCTTCAGGCATGCCAAGGTATGCAATGATATGCAATCTAGGCACGCAACGGCGCAGGATGCTGCTTGCATTTGTACAGACTGTTGCCTGGCGCAAGCGTTAGTGACAAGCATGTGCTAGCTCATGCGGCCCCGGCTGAGGCCCGTGATCCAGTGCCGACTGCAGGACGCAGAAGCCCTGTTAGGCCTTGTGGCATCTCCCCTGCTCGTAAGATGGGATTTCAAGCGGCGGGGCCAAGGGCTTCCAGCAAGAATGAGGGTTTGAACATGGTTGAACCCAACATGGGGCGCACACGAACTCGGAAGTGGGGGCGCCTCAAGGACACGCGAGAGGGCATCGACAGCATCGACAGTTTCGAATTCAACGATGTGCACTTCACTTACCCGGCACGTCCGGATGTCAAGGCCCGCGGCTGCACCCCCCCCCCCCCAACATTTTACCACAGACATAGTGAAATCTGACAAGTCCGAAGAGAGCATAGGCGCCTGTGCTATCCGACCCAGGTCCTCAACGGCCTGTCCCTGACCATCCAGCGGGGCCAGAAGGTCGCCTTCGTCGGCGAATCCGGCTCTGGGACGCTAGACGCCGCTATAATATAATATAATGTAATATTATTTAATATAATGTAGTATATAAGTATAATTCATTAAATAATATCACACAATACAGTAATAAACGCAGAAGGCAGGATTCCCTGCTGGAAACGTCTTGACAGCCTGATCCATGCGTCAGGAAGTCCACGGTCATGGCCCTCTTGGAGCGGTTCTACGATCCCGACTCCGGCAAGGTTCTGGTCAACGGCACGGACCCGCCAGTGAGAGGGTTTATGCTTGCGAGTCTCAGAGGTTAGTTGTAAAATCTAGAATCTAGCTTTGAGAAGGCTTATGTGCTCTGGTTTGGTGGCCACCCGGCATGACCCTTCTCAAGTTAGGCCCCCCGCTGGCTTTTGCACCAGGCTTAGGAATGGAAGAGAGAAGAGCAGGGAGCAGTTTGAATTCTGTAGCCCGGGAGCAAACAGGAACCTCCCGAACCCTCGTGCAAAGACGCATAAGCCTCCGCGAGGACATGACATCCTTCAAGGTCAGTGCCCTGCGGCGTTGCATTGGTTATGTTGGTCAGGCCGGGGGAGATGCAATGGTGACTTGGTACCAGTATCATGGGAGCCAATGGAAATTCGCCAAGTATTTCTGGGCATTTTGCGAGCAGGCAACCAGCCGCTGATCACCCGTCCTCGTCTCCCGTCACTCCCGTCTAGAGTCACCGAGAACTGTACCAAGACTACGTTGACCAGTGGCAGGAGCCGGTTCTCTTCGCAAGCTCAATTCGCAACAACATCATGCAGGGCAATCCGGAGGCGGAAGTTAAAACAGCGGCAGCAGTGTGGGCGTCTTTGCGCGCTTGTGTCTTAGTCCGAGACTTCGGGCAGCTTCAACCGATAGAAATATCCAGCAGGTTACTTGTTGCGACCCAGGGCTTGTGTTGTTTTGGTCTTTTCTCTTGTCGTTCCTGGGATAAAATGTTGAAGTGTCAACAAGAATCAGCTAGAGATCATGATCCGCGACAATGCTCTCCGAACTTGCGTAGAATTGAGAAGCGCCGCATCTCTTGGACATGCAACCGAGGTGCATCACAAAGCCTTCATCCTAAACCCTAAACCCTAAACCCGCCTAAACCCTAAACCCTATAACCTTGCCGGCCTTGTGCGAGTGTGAGAGTCGAAACCCTCTAACCCCTACACCCAAAAAAAGCCCCAAACCGCAGCTCCCAGCACTGCAGGCCAGCAAGGAGGACTTCGCCAAAGCCTGCCAGGATGCCCAGCTGGACTACGTGGAGAGCCTGCCGGTCGCTCTGTGCGAAGTTGGGAAGTGACGATTTGGGTTAATTTGTTTTTTTTGTTGTTTTTCCCATCCCCCCCCCTCTGGGTATTTTGGGTAGTTTTGGTATCTTGGGTGTTTTGGTGGTACACCCATCCTCAGTTGTGAATGGTTCCAGTCATACCCTGCTCCTGAGTTTGGCTTGGAAGGCCGAGAGAAGGCAAGCCCGTCCGAAATCCCCTCTGCTCGGCCGGGTGTCTTTGCGTTTAGGACCAGTACAACACCTTCGTGGGTGCTGGCGGAGGGCAGCTATCGGGAGGCACCCGCAAACAGACATGAGACGGATCGGGCTTCGAGGGCATAGGTCTTGCACCCTTCGCTCGTGTGCGAGCACAGCCAGATCTCGCCATGATCGCAGACGTGTTTCTGACGTGTGCTTGTGCAGGTCAGAAGCAGCGCATCGCCATCGCCAGGGCTTTGCTCAAGAAAGCTTCCTTCCTCTTCCTGGATGAGGCAAGTAGCTGGCGTTGTGGCTGACAGTAGCTGACATCTTCGCCCCGGGGTCTTGGAGGTGCTTCGTTGCGCTTTGTTGCGATGCTGGGTGAGACATGTAGGGGGGACAAGTGCGTGAACCTTGAACGGCGGCCGCAACCTCAATGCAGAAGGAAACCTACGGGCAAACATCAGACAAACTAGCAACAGCTGCTGCTGGCAAATAATCCACCCCACTTCCTCCTGCAGACACAAGGTGGATGGGGGCAAGTGGAGCTGGGAGGAAAACTACTTTCTTGGTTTACTTCGAACAAACCCACCCTAGCGCTAAGCAACTTGATGAGCACTGTACGAAGTAATTGTCCGGGATTCGGGACTCCAGGCGAGTGCTCTGTGGGGTACGGCGTCGCCTCTTGGGAGGGGGGGGGGGGTCCATGTTGGGAATATCCATGTGAACCAGGAAGACACGCCACTGATCCCTCGAAGGGCAGACCCAGGGAGACAATGGCTGAGAGAAATTCTAGCCACACATCGGGTGTGAGGAAGTGCTGCGCTGGATGCCCTAGTGACCGGCCCTGAGTAAGCACAATCACGTGCGAATCCCCTAGCATACGGGCTTTCAACCATACAAGATTCGAATGCCTGCATCCGAACGACTCCTTCGAAGTTACTCATTTTCTTTCTTGGCTTTCCCACAGCAGCGCTGATGCCAGGCTACAAGCGCACTGGACAACGCATCAGAAAAGATGATCCAGGCGAGCATTGGGCAGTAGTTTTGTTTAAGGTCATGGCTTGGGTACAGCCAGCCAGCATGCCAGCTTTCACTCCGTTTAGAAGGGGAGATTAAGTGAGGTGTCGCTTTGGATTCAGACACCTTGCGACACTCAGCCTTTGACCTCAGATGGCTATGATCCACTGGTACGATGACAAGGGAAAGCCATGGAAACGCAGAATGCCGTGCAGGCAACCATCGACAACATCAGCAGCAACATGACAGAAGGTCTGGGCATTGCTCCTTGCCTGCCTCGGCTGCTATGGGGAGCCAGAGGTTGCTAGTTTCAGGTTTTGGTGGTCAGGTATCATCGGGTTGCAGGCATGTGGCTGCTGCAGTTGTCGTCATAGGCCTCATGTATACTGATAGGCCAGTGGCGGCCAGCAGCATTCTAACTTTTCTTGGCCGATCTATAGGTCAGCATTGCCCACCGGCTGTCGACTGTTCGTAACGCCGACCTGATCTATGCTGCTTGGTTCTCGAGCTCGCGGGATGTAAAGGGATTATAGTTTGTTGCTGGTTAGGTTCCCTCAGCCCTCGGTGATGTGCATTGCCATCAGCCCCAGTTCTTTGAGGCTCGCCCTAGCCTACCGAAGTCCTGAGCTTGTCAGGGTCCAGGTTGATGTTGCCCTTATGCTGAGGCGCTTTTCATTGTGTCTTGCACCCCGCAATCTAAGGTCCTCAGCCGGGGCTCGCTGGTCGAGCGGGGGGACCACAAATCCCTGATGGAGTTGCTTGGGCCATCATCTCGAAGACTTAAGATGATTCTTCAGTTCGTCCTGGGATCCACGAGTCCACGGTTTGGGATCCGGAGGGGTAGCGATGTAGGGTCGGCTGTCAAGAATCTCAGTTTCAGGTTCTTCGTTCAAGCAAAGGGGGCGGGGGGGGGGGTCAGGGGAGAACACACACACACACACACACACCATTCAGGAAGAAAGGCATGTACTATGCCTTGGTGGCGGCGCAGGAGTCCTCCCACAAGGCAGGGCTGAGGTTGAGGGATTGCATGGGGTTCTTGGCATGACCACTGTCTGCCCCAGAACAGGTTGAGATCTGGGTCTCTTGAATTAAACTAGCAAGGCCAAGAGATTCGAGAGTACCAGAAAAACCTCGTCAAGTCGAACACTTTTCAAGTCACATCCCTTCGAGCTCGCAACAACGGTGCAGGGTTGTCGCAGTTCTGCAGTGACAGTCGTCGATTGCCATGCCCTGAGGCAGATGAAGACGAGAACCTAGACACTGAGGTTCCTTGCCACTCTGATCACCGAATCCCTAGAATCCGGCTGCATGGTGGGGTCAGTGGGTGTAGGGGTTGAAGGTGCAAATAAGTGTTCAGTAATGCTCAACATGCCCCCCTCCGACTATGTACAATGTACTGTCTAGCGTGAGGAGTTCGCCAAGCTGAGGCCAGAATAGGTCAACCCAAGCCAATAGCAACAGTGGGCTATGTTTTCGCGTAGTAGGACCACATGTTACGACTTGCGTTCTCCCAATGAACCGCTGATGCAATTGCTCAGGGCCCGCCCCGCAATGAACTTCTGCGTAAACTGGCACCACAAGCCTCTTTCAGTTCCTCCCGGCCCCGGAAACCGGCGATTCAGCACTAACTTATACAACTAGTACTACAAATCAATGAATTCCCTCCCGGCTTCAGAATCCCGCGATTCCAGTGCAAAACTTGTCTTGCAGGTCAGCTTTGGAAATCGGGATTGCAGTACTAAACTTGTGCTGTAATTCAGCAAATTGAAGAGCCCACGATGTAGAAGGAATGCTACCTTTCGAGGCAGCTTCGGCGCAGAAGACAGCCAGGCCCCATTGGGCACATGTACGGGTGGCGCAGTCTAGGTGTTCAAGACCTGTAGCGACCTCCGTGGTCCTTCACAGCGAACTTCAACAGGTTTCGGTTTACTGCATCTGTGGCGTGCTGCTACAGGTTTCTAAGGTTGATGCTTTGTCTGAGGAGTTCACAAGTATAGCTTGCGGTATCGTCTTGGAGCATATGCCACCGTAACTGGAATCAGAGGCAGCTTTAGCGATGGCTGTAATTGGGCAGAAGGTGAGAGCATGATGTCACGCAGTCCAGTGGCAGCTTTGATCATCGAAGGAAACAATCCACCGTGTCGGAAGAGTCGGAGACTGCTCGCAAAGCGAAGGAGAAGAAACTTGGACCCACATGAACGACATAATGAGACATTTCTGATCTCTCCCATTCAATCTACTCTCCTGGAACTTGCTCCCCCTTAGTTCCGGGGTCCAATGCCTACCGGCAATGTGCTTGCACCAAGTCAAAAACAATGTTTCAGAGACTTTGGGTTCCTGTTTGGGTCCCATGTCAGTGAGGCAAGCAGAGGAAGAGCGAGAGAAGGACATCGTCAAAAACTACAAGGCCAGAGACATGTGTTCATGGGTAGACCGTTCCTGAGGGATGTAAGCCGCATCACCGTTAGAGGCTCGTGCAAGAGACACTCCTGCACGATCACCCTCTCCGCCCTTTGCCTCCTTCGAGAGACTTCGGAGCAGGTCCCCATGATGCGCTTGCTGAGCTACAACAAGCCGGAGTGGCTCCTCGGTCGAACTTGGACAGTGGCAACGGCAGCGGATAAGTTTCAACATCTGTGTCTACCCAGGCCCTACTTTGTGCCTGCGGTCCTTGGTGCGTTGGCTGATGGCGCTTCGATGCCAGCATCTCGGACTGCAATGGGCGCCAGGTCTTCATGTGAAAGTGCCTTTAATGCATTCTTTGTACACACACATGCACACACCCGTGTGAGAGTCCACCTGTTGTGGGAGCACCTCGGATTTTGTGAATTGTTTGCCAATGCCAGATATGTACGATTGCCCTCGTGGGCTCCATGGAGGGCTTCTTCAAGACAGACAAGGCGTGCGGATGCGGGAGTCAGAGCATTCCAGCGAAGGTCGGCTCTCTAGAGCTGTGCCTTGCTGTTCATTGGTAACTCACAGTCTAGAATCTCTACAATCCTCATGTGCAATGAGAGTTCTTTGAAGAGCAAAGCAGCGGTGATAGTCCACATACAGCTGGGTGCCTGGCAAAAGTGATATATCACAGCAAGTTCACAGATACGAAACAAGGCTGCAGGCCTGCAATCCCCGTGATCCCATGACCACCTCCCAGGAGGCCATGAGAGCTGACCTCGAGCTTCTCAGCTGAACATCTGGGATTTCTAGGGCCTTGAGATGCCTTGGGCTTTCAGAGGATGTTCCAGGCAGCAGCCTTCCGGGGGTGCAAGTTCAGAGTCTACGAAAGGGTGAGGGTTGGAATGGTCCCCTCATCCGCAACAGGCTCATGGCCATTATTTTCGTCATCATCGGTGTCAGCAACCTGGTTGCCGCGACAATTTCACACGGCTGCTTCTCAATTCTGGGAGAGGCCTGTCTCAGTGCTTGTGTAACGTTTGGGTATGGGCATGGGCTGCCACTCGCATAGAAACAGGCAGGCCATCGTCAGTTCTCCAGGATGCAAATACCGTCTTAGACTACGTGTGTGGATTGCATCGCGCGAAAGTGCCTCTTAGACCTCGTGCAGCCTCAGCTGCACAGCCCCCTCGCTTGGCCGGGAAGCACCTTGTTTGTTACCGGTACCGACTCTGTAGCTGCGTGCCTTCCCGAGACCCAGTTTCGGCGTGGGTTTCACCCGACCAGGCCATGAGCCAGCGCCTTCGCATTGCCATCTTGACGGACATGTTCCGCCAGGAGTGAGCTTTCGGTTCCGGCTTGCACGGAGAGGTTGTCGGTGCTGGTGGCCATGGGGTGGCAGTAGTGGCAGGGTGCCTGAGTTTCCTGATTTCGGATGAGCATGGATGAGCCGAGGTGTAAAGCTGAGTCTTGTGCATGCGACGGTTGTGCAACGAGACGCATGCGCTCCTTCCAAGACTGTCTGCCAGTAAAGGGCACGGCACAAAATGATCCAAAGAGCAATCCTGATTAGCCCCCTTACATGCATAAACCCAGAATTCAAAGTGTCATTGCTCATCTCGTAGCCTTGCAGCCTTGAGAAACTTGAGGAGGTAGGCTTTCACGACGATCCCACGCACACGCCCGGGATGCTGTCGAAAGCCCTTGAGCCCCTGGGATTATCGGGCTCTTGCTGGGGCTGTCTTTTTGTGATGGGATTTCGTGTCACGAAAAATCTCACGTCAGCCTTCATGCCACAGCTCCGCACCAGCTTGGAGTCCATTTAACAATACGAACAATACGAACTGAGCCGCAAGCCGCGCACCTTGTCGAGGCTGTGGGCCTTCCGCGTCACCGTGCTGTGCAAGTCCGTGCAAGCCAAGGCTGGGGCAATGGCATCGCCGCTCGCCTGTCAAACTACTTTCCAACGGCACGTAAGCAAAACGCAAGCAACCAGGCTAGCTGGTCTGGGAGATCTTGGGGCTACGTAACATGTCTCAAAGGAGGATCGGGGCAAGAGGTGGCCGACCGAAAAAAGGAGGCACAGGAGGGGAGGAGAAGGAGGCTGGGGAGAGGGGGAGCAAGGGGATGGGCTGGGACACGGGATTTGTTTCAGGCGGTACGAGGTATTCTTGGGAGTTGCGAGTCAAAGCGTTCAACATGTTTCCATTCCCTCTGGCTGTCAAGCTCCACATGCGTTCAGGGCCTGGACCTTTCGATTCGCACAAACCGCTACCACCAATGAGTTTTTGGACAGGTTACCATTGAACATGCCACGCAGGTTCGTGAATACCTTGTGACCTCCTCCACCATCCTGAGGCTTGTGGTTGGCCTCGTCATTGGCTTCGTTTACTGCTGGCAGATGTCTTTGGTCATGCTTGGTGCCTTGGAGCTGAAAGAATTTATTTGTCGCGGGCTTAGGACTTAGGATTGAGGGCCCCATTTCCAAAGGTGCCATTTCTGGCGAGTTAAGGTGCAGGGCATGGAGAGGTTGACAGGAAGAAGCTTACACCACCTCACGCATGAAAGTCAAAAGCTGCGAAGTACCACGCTGCCACATGACATAGACCCTCCATTCGAGAGCTGTAGACTCTGTAGACTTTGGATAAGCAATTCTTGTCCCGGAGGTTCGATTCCCATCATGGTCATCGCCAATGCCATCCAGATGGTCGTTCTGATGGGCGCTTCCAAACAGGAGACATGTGGAAGAAATTCCCTGAGACGTTGTGTGAAACAGTCCATGATGAATGCAGTTCCAACGGGTGCACTCAACAAGGAGAATTCCAACCTCACGAACGCCCAGCAGATCATCGTCGACTCTGTCATGAACGCCAGGACTGTTCAGGCCGGCAGTGATTTGAACCCAAGGCTGAGGGTTTGGGGTGGGGAATTGGCGCCAATGAATTTGCTACTTTCTTGGTAACCCGCAGAACTGCGGTGCTTATGCCAGAATGCACATCAAACGGTCGGCCTAGATTAGTTCCTTTTCGTCAGCCACGATTGGGCTTACTTTACGGTCTGTGTGCAGTATGCATGCGGCTCTCTTCCAGGTCTGGGCCTCATCGTTCAAACCAGCCCACAAGCCTTCTAACATGTTTTAGCTTGCTGCGTGCAGCTTGCAGTTTCAGCTTGCTGCATCTGCCGCGCGTCGGAGCATGCTGGTGGTGCCGAGTTCGAGATGCGCTTCACAACGCACGCGATCTCAGCTGGAGGGCAGGATGGGGCAGCAATGTCACAATCTTCCCCGAGAAGAATCCAGGAGTGCAGTGTGGAGTCTACAGAGGCTCCGAGCTGGCAACGTCCTCTTGGCGACCCACAGTCGCTTCAGCCATGAGACTTGTGCACTTGCATAGCGGTGGCACAAGGTTTCAGAAGGCTTTTCCATCCATCTGTGATGGGCAGGGTTCCCCCGAGCAGTGCCGACAGCACAGACCCTGACCTTGCTTAGAGTCCTCAGAAAGTTGCCCCAAACTCCCGCCCCAGCAACGTGAATTTCAGCCCGACTTTCGGAGGCCCTGGGGGTGGAGAAGTCCCTGGTCTCCCTGTACATGGGTTGGGTGAAGAAGTCGCCCGGCTCGAAGTCTTTGCCCTCGAAAAGCAAGGCACCTGAGGTCTTCTGTTCGTGGGTTAATGAGGTGCAGCCTAGAGCCTTGACTCAGCACCTCTCAGGTCATCTGTGGGCATGTGGAGCCGCAACATTCTTGCTGGCTTGGGCTTCGGTGTGGCCAACGGCGTCTTGGTTTCGTAGGAGCCGGGGTTTGGAGGATGTTGGTTTTAGCAGCTCAAGTTTTTCAGAAGCCTTCGCCACTCGACCAGTCGGGTTGCGAGATTTTTGAAGACAAAACAGTCAAAGCCATGTGCGACACATGTAGTCCAGACCCAGGACAGCATGAGAACAGCAGGAAGGCATCAGGACAGCAAGTTGGCAAGGGCATGCGGACTCAAGAAGCCACTAGCTCTAGCTGGGCATCCGTCATGATCCAAAATGCACAAAGCAAAGGGAACCTCAGATGTGGACAATTTCAATCAGACATGGAAGCCTTAGGCCGGCGACTCTGCTAGACAATCAGCGAGCGTCGAGTGCACAAGTGTACAGTGGGGCTTGGTCAGCAGGCCACGCCCCGGGCAGTGTGCCCGGGCCGCACCCGATCCTACTAAACAGGGATAGTCTCATTTGCCGGGCCCCTCCGCCATCAGCGGGCCGGCCATGAAGTTACAGTTGAGTCCAAGCATCCTGGAGCCGAGGCCAGTCGAAAAAGCCACGTTGTAACGGACCAGTATTTTGCGCAACGTGTGGTGACTTGCGACACCAATGGAAACTTCAAGCCCTTGTTGGCAAGAGGCTGCAAAACTGGAGTCGGAAACGCCAAGCTTTGGATTTTGGGCTTAAGACAAAGTAGGGGATGGTCGAAGTGGCAAGTTTGGTAGGTTTGCTTGTTTGCGCAGGGCCTGGGAGCTGGCCGTCAGTCACCGTCCATGTCTAGGAACTTTTCTGTCCCCTGTCGGCTGCGAACACACGTGGGCCTTGAACCGGAGCTGAACGTGGGCAAAGGCATCATGTTCCCCGTGATGGCGGGCGGCTTCTACGTGGCCTCTTGGCCCTGCTGCGCTGACAATATATATATATATATATATATAGTATTATGTCTGAGAACTCATCAGCGACGTCGTCTGCGAGGTACGGCCTCGCAAAGAAAGTAGGCGTGAGCGTCATAGCTGTCACACCTAAGATGTCTCCTGTGGCCAGTTTTAGATCAAGGTGAATAATTCTTATTTAATTACTTTCCGTGGCTTGGCTGTGGGGGTCTGCAGTCTGCCTTCAAGGCTTCAATCCTCATCCGCGACGGAACTGCCGACTTCAAGGGGGTCATGATGGCTTTCATGGGCTGCCCGGCCGCAAGTTCAAGGGCGAAGGGGTTGTCTGTGGCAGCATTTCATGTCCAAGGTGCAAGGCCCCAAGGTCGATGGCAGATGGGATGGAACGAGTAAGAATTTCGTGTTCGCATGAAATAAACGAATACCAACTGTTATGGAGCTTATGTTTCGCTGAGCTGTGACTAGCAACAGGGCCGCCGGATCACGAGGCAAGTGCAGAGATGCAGAGGTTTCTGGCTGTACGAGGGAAAATCCTTTCAGCTGTAAGGAAGACCTTTGCCCCACTGAAGTGAAGCCGAGAACGCTTTGAGGGCGTTCGGAAACAGAATATAAATCGTAGACCTCTGCCAGCTTAGTGCTTAGGATAGGTGAGGGCAATAGATGAGGGCTTGTTCATCCGGAAGGTGTCTTCTATGCTGGTATGGGGGCGGGCCAAGCTGCCGTGATGGCGGGCGATGCGACGAAGGCGAAGGTGGCGTGCCACGACATGCTCCTTGGAAATCATGTCTGGCGAATTCTGCCGAGATAAACAAGAATTGAGGGTGCTGAGAAAAGCTGAAACAAGCTTCCCCGCCTCTGGATCCAAGGTTCAAGCTGATGGACCGAGTTTCCCAAATCGACGGCCTAGAGCCATCAGGACTCATCTTTGACCGGAAGGGCCGTCGTCGGCTAAGCTTGCTCTTTGTGCTCAGGGGACTGATTCGGAGCGATCACTAAGAACTTGTTGGGGATGATGGCGTTGCAAAGAATGCTTCGTTTCACGGAGTCTGAGTTGAGGATCTTTGGATAGCACCTTGCTTTGAACCTTGCCTGCCGTGTGCAAGTTGCGAGCAGAAGAATCGAACGAAGCCTGAGGCCACAGCTGTCCATCTGGTTGTAAGTAATTGGGCCCTATGGAAGCACTGTGGCTTGCGTTTTGCACTCTGCTTTTTAGAAGCTTCGCAGAAAGCACAGGGTGGAAGGTGCCTGGCGTAGAGACGGCAATGCGCAGGAGAGGAGCCCAAAGAACTCCAAGCTGGACACATCGAGTTTCAGGACCGGCATGCCCCCCTAATGTGTGCAGTTGTGCGTTGCGCACGAAGGGGATACCGACGCTGATCGGGGACGGGCATGATCTCAGGACTGTAGAGAATTCCTGCCAGGATGTCAAGTTCTTCTATCCTTTCCGCCCAGAGATCCAGGTCCTGAAGGGCAACCTGGTAGTCAAATCAGAGCTGTTTCCTTGGTCCGAGCCCTGCTCTGTTTCGATCAATACCCCCTCCCCCGACCAAAGCGATAATGACACTGCATACAGTATGTCAGCACCACTCGATCATTGCAAGTCGAGTGCTAGCAGACCTGGCCCCCGTTGAGGCTACCTTGAGACCCGAGCCACCCCGCCGTAAGGCATCAACTTCACCATCTCTGCGGGAATGTCCGTGGGCTTGGTTGGGCCATCTGGAGGCTCTCTGCCATGTAAATTTACGCGTTCATGATTCACAGTATATGTATATATATATATATATATAAGTATATGTATGTGTTTATGTATACGTATATGTATATGCATCTGTATATGTATGTGTATATATATATAGATACTCATTTTGCCTTGGCATGATTGATGCCGCGCGTGCCAAACGTCATTCGGAGTTTCACAGGGCATGGCTTCCCGGCCGCTACAGACATGGAAAAGAGCCATATGAGAGCCATGAAGCAATGATACCTTGCAGAGATAGCGGTCGGTGTTCTGGCATCGCCCGCTCTGTCGCGCTGTTTCGTCCCAAGTGCTTCTACTATCACGCATATGGATAATGTTGACTGTCATTCCCAATGCTTGGCGAGATGCTTCCCCTTTCGACAGGCGGCAAGAGCACAGTGATGTCCCTGATCCAGCGATTCTACGACCCCCAAGAGGGCAGCGTTTTCATCGGCAAGGCACGGCCACTCTCACGTCTAACTCCTTGGTAGCTTGATCTTTTATCGGTCTTGAGAGGAGGCCAAGAGAAACCTCCGACACCGAAAGTCTTTATGCTGTCTTTCTGGGGCTCACTTGCAGGAGCGCTTGGCCCTGAGCAGTGTGAACATTCGATGGTGGCGTCGGCAGATCGGCTTCGTGGGACAGGCGCCAGGAGGGTTGTTTTGCAGGTTGGCATTGTTTGGTGGTGTACCCTATCAAGTTCGGGAGTGCCGGGTTTCAGATTGATGTTTCCTAAGCATTCCTAAGCCTGTGCACACCTGTGTCTTCAAGAGCTGTCTCAGGAGCCTGTGCTGTTCAACACCACCGTGAGGAGCAACATCATGATGCTAGCATGCAAGCTTGTTTCTTGCGGGGTGACCGTGTGATTCTTTGGACTGGCAACCTGGTAACCTCCATTGTGTTTTTTTGCTTCAGCTGACGGGCTTCGGGCACCAGAGCCTTGAGTGCTGCGTGGCGTACTTTTGCTTCAGCTTCGTAGCTTTGTACTTGTTGAGAACCTGGCTGAGGATACTAAATCAACGATCATAGACCTCTGTATGAGATCCATCACAGCGTGCCATAACTGCGGCCTTGTGGTCTAAACGAGCAGCTGAGGTATGGGCTGTCTGACGATGAGCAGGTCAGCGAGGATTACGTCAGGAAGTGCGAGGGCATGTGCAACCTCGGGTTCCTGTGGCTCAGGCTCAAGTTGCCGTGTTACAACTTTCGTAAATCATAGCATGAAAATCATATAGCTGTTTTTGGTCCGACGCAAAGCAAGTCGTTTCGCTTCAATCACTTCCATGAGCCCCCGGCTTGCGGGGACTGCCCACTCAAGCTGTTTGAGTGACATGGTATGACATGCCAGGATGTGGGCAAGGCCCCAAGCTATGGTCAATCCCGAACCTGAGGACCCCGTCCTGACGCCTCAAACATCCAAACCTGTAGCCGCGCTTCACGAAATGAGCTGCTCAGGTACAAGAATGGCAACAAAGGCCTCGAGACAGAAGTGGGTCCTCGAGGAAGCCGTCTCTCAGGTCTGCGGCCGGTCCTTCTCATTGAGCTTTGCTGGCGGCACTTTTGTGTGATGCTTCGAGTACTTTTGCGTGCTTTTCATAGTTTTTTGTGTTTTCTGGAGTCATTAAAGTCTGGACTTTCCATTTGAGTCCTCTTCCCGTCGCCATCCCAAGAGATGCGGGCGGGCATGCTGTCTCTGTCTCTGTGTGTGTGTGTGTGTGTGTGTGTGTGTGTGTGTGCGTGTGCGTGTGCGTGTGCGTGTGCGTGTGCGTGTGCGTGTGCGTGTGCGTGTGCGTGTGCGTGTGCGTGTGCGTGTGCGTGTGCGTGTGCGTGTGCGTGTGCGTGTGCGTGTGCGTGTGCGTGTGCGTGTGCGTGTGCGTGCCTGCGTGCGTGCGTGCGTGCGTGCGTGTGCGTGCGTGCGTGCTTGCTTACCTGCGAGGTGGTCAGAAGCAGCGTGTTGCCATCTGTCGAGCCCTCATCCGCAACCCGCCGGTGATGCTGCTTGACGAGGCTTGTGAGGGTACTCGGAATCGAATCTAATTCAGCTCCAGTCAAGCACTGGGCTTGGCAGGCAGGTGCACCTAGGTTTGCAGGGACCGTTGCTGGACACAGACCTTCGGTTTCATAGACATGTACTTGAAACCACGACGCCACCTGCCCTTCTTTTGCCAATTTTGCGTTTCCTGGCTGCAAGCCAAGTCCACAGGCAACCAGTGCGCTTGACACGCAAAGCGAAGCCATTGTGCAGAAGGAGCCTTGCCTGCTGAAGAGCGTTGGACGTATGTAGAGGAGCTTTGTATTTCTTCCCAAATTGAAGTTCGACATGTCCGACACGGGGCAGTGGATCGTGGGGGCAGTTACATGCTGTACTTTCACCCTACATGATAGGTGGTCACCGCCTGCCTTGGGGTATCCCACAGGGGGGGGATGATCATCCCCACAGACATGCCGTCTAACAGGCCCCCCCCTCCCAACTGAGGACAGAGAGAGAGAGATAGATACAGATAGAGAGAGAGAGAGAGAAGAAGAGAAGAGAGAGAGAGAGAGATGGATGGATACAGAGAGATCAAGGGAAAGGGCGAGAGACATACAGAGCGGACAAGAGGACCTGAAAAAAGAGTGGAGAGAGGACAGATAGAGTCGAGAGGAAGCAAGGAGAGAGGTGGGCAGAGAGAGCGAGAGAGATCAAGCAGCTTCTTGGCTGCAAAGCATTTAATGCTTAGGGCTTAGGGGTTAGTTTAGGCCTTAAGGCCTTAGGCCTTAGGCCTAGGACCTAGGGTTTAGGGTTTGGTTTTGGGTTTGAGCTTTACGGTTCAGTTTTTTTTGGTCTGGGGCCTCTGCCCTTTCAAAAGCCCTAAACCCGAAGCCCTAAACCCTAAACTCGGCTAAACCCCCTAAACTCGTTAAGCCCTACAGGCCCTAAAGGCCCTAAATTCCCAGAGGCCTAAACCCCCTAAACCACCTAAACCCCTTAAACCCCCTTAACCCTAAACCTGAAGCCCTAAATCATAGGTCCAGGTAGGGATCGGCTGAGCGTGCGCTGTTAAGCCCTGCCCTAAATCCTCAATCCTAAACCCCTTAAGGATCGGCTGAGCGTGCGCCGTCAAGCCATAAAGGCCCTAAACCTAAAACCCTAAACCCGAGGCCCTAAACCCTAAACCCGAAGCCTTAAACCTTCCGCGTCCAGCCGCAGGCCCCCGGCAACTGCGGTCCAGCTGGGGCACGCGTCCCAGCCCTCGGTCAACAGCAGTGTGGCTCATACACGCGGCGCCTGCGCCCCCTTGTTGGAGCGTGGCGACGCAGGCCGCCGCGAAAGCCGGAAGACGGGCCGCCATGACCGGGAGCACATCCGCCCACGCCGCCCAGCACGCTGCAGGGGCCACGCGTGCTGCTGACGCGAGGCCGAAGCCGGCGGGGACGGCTGCGAGCCACATGCCGGCCACAGGGCCGGACTGGGATCGCAGGAGTGCTCGCGAAGCTGGAGGCAGGTAATTATCCCGGTATCCCACCTCCACTCCTCCAGCCTTTGCCTTTGCCTTGAGAAGGGCATGTGACAGGTTGCTGGAAAGTAGGGCCTAAGCCCGGGGCCCCCTAAGTAAGGATCGGCTGAGCGTGCGCCGTTAAGCCCTCGCCGCTAGTGGGTGTAAGTGTAGGCTTGAGGCTAGGGTATAAGGTCAGGGTACATGGGCTCCTTGGTCTTATGGGGTGCAGCCTTGCAGCAGCTTGAGTGCAGTGCTTGTCTGAAGCTTGAAGCTGGGTGGGAAGGCTAGTGTGGTTTCATCTTTCTCTAAGGTTATACGGCAGGGCTGGGAGGAGCAAGCCAGTCTGGCTACTGCCTTTTTTTGGCCAGGACTACAGGAAGAGCTTGTAGCTTCAGATCTTCTCAGACTTAATATGCCTTGCTTTAAAGGGTCCAGCTTTTCTGCGTGCAGCAGGAGCTGCAAGCCTAGAAAAACGTCTCTGGCAAGTAGCAGGTAGCAGTCCTTCGGAGTCTCTGTGCCAGCAGGAGAGAGACCCAAGGACTGGTGAAGGACTGCAGAAACAGCACCGCTGAAGGACTGCAGCAGTCCTGTTTCATTGAAACTTGCTTTTGCTCGAGCACCCAGTTTGCTGCTTCTGCCCTGCTGCAAGACTTGAAGACCTCAGATGCTGTGAGTAGCAAAGGACCATAGGCGGCCCTCTGCCTTCTGCCCTGCTGCAAGACTCGAAATCCGCCCGCGCTAGGAGCAGGTAAGGATCTCAGGCGGGCCTCTTAGACTCCAGGATTTGTTTTGGGGAGGGCAAAAGACGTGGGGTCCGTAGGAGTGTCTGACGTGGGACCCGGACCCATTTTGCCGTTTATAGCACGTGGGAACAAGAGTCATTTCGGCCGTTTTACAGGCGAAAACGCGTGGGACTCAGACCCATTTTGCCGTTTGACCGTGGGGTCCGGGCCCATTTCTCCGGTTTTTGTGCCGTTTTTGTAGCAGGCGAAAACGCGTGGGGTCCAGCAGCTTCAAAAACAGGAGAAAACGCGTGGGGGCCCGGGCCAATTCAAAAGCAGGAGAAAACGCGCGGGTCCTGCAAATTCCGAAGAAGGCGAAAACGCATGGGGCCTTGCAACTTGAGAACTAGGGCCTGGCCAAGGTCCTGATCTGCCTGGAGAATAGCTGGAGCCTCTAAAGCCTAAAGCCCTGAAGTCTGAGAGGCTCCGAAGCTACAAGCTCTTCCTGTCTTCCTGGCGAACCTGGCGAAAAAGCCAAGGCAAGCAGTAGCCAGACGGGCTCCTCCAAGTCCTGCCCTCGAGCCTTAAAGAAAGATGAAGCCACACGGGAAGGCCCGCGCAGCTTCAAGCTGGAAAACGCACTATGCTGAAGAGGCAGCGCGGTCTTTTCCTCGGGACCCAGAAACAGTTCCTGCAGCTGACGGTTTGCTGCCTACACGCTTGCAGACAAGCTTCAAGACTTGCGGTGCTTGCAGCAGCCAGAAAGAGGCAGGCCCCTCATGGTTCTTAAGCCGTAAGCTTGGCTTTGTTTTTCTCAGCCACATAAACCCTTCATAGTCCTCCTGCGCAAGACAAAATGCAATTTCGGCAGCTGAAAAGTGCATTGGGCTTCTTGGAAGTTCTAGCCCGGTCTGCAGAAATACTTGATGACTTCTGCTGCTTGTGATGATATGAGAAAGCTAGCCAGGCCGCCAGGCCCTAGCGGCTTTATCCGTTCTTCCTCAGCCAAAGAGACCCTGAATAGGACAAGACAAAATGCAATTTCGGCACCTGAAAAGTGCATTGGGCCTGTGTCATCAGCTAGCGAGGCATCTAACGGAGGCAAGGGCTTTTTAGGCCTGCCGTGCCTGTTTTAGGCTAGAAGAGCATCCAACAAGCCCAATGCACTTTTCACATGCTGAAATTGGGATTTCTCTTGTGCAAGTGCACAACTCAAGGTCTGTCTGACCGAGGAAACGATCGGGGCACGCCTAAAAAGCAGTAAGATGCCTGGATAGGTTCATCAGCAGCAGCAGAAATCTTGAAGCATTCCCATAGCCCGGTTCCAAAAGAGCCCCCACCCGACAAGCCCGATGCCCTTTTGACCTCTTGAAGGGCTGATGTCAGACCACTAGACAGACAGACAGACAGACAGACAGACAGACAGACAGACAGACAGAGACACATACAGAGAGAGACCGGCATTGAAAACTCAGAACACAGATAGAGAAAGAAGGTATAGAGATAGATGCAGACATGTAGAGAGAGAGACACAGAGAGAGACCGAGAGAGAGGGTTAGACAGACAGAGGCTGGCAGATAAAGAAATACAGAGACAGACAGGGGGGGAGGGGAGGGGGGGAGAGGGGGATGGAGGGGGGGAGAGGGGGATGGATGAAGGGGGGGAGAGGGGGATGGAGGGGGGGGGGGCATGTTTAGGTGCACGTTTGAGGGGATGTTTGGGAGGACGATCATCCCTTTATACAAAGTAGTAAGCAAGGCAGGGTGGCGACCACCTTTTCCTACATTCCTTGGCAGAAGTTGGAGCCACCGGCTGCATGCGCTTATTGATTGTGGGCGCAACGTGCACGCGTGAGCCTGGTGATTCATTCTCGAACGGATGCATACTCCTCACAGCCATGGAGCAGCCATCCGGCAGCTTTGTTAAACAAACCATTGGCCTTAGGATCGACAACGCTACCAATGTCCCAGATCATCCAACATCCTAGCACAAAAGGCGCTGGAGGCTGCGCGTGAGGGTCGCACCTCTTTTGCCATCGCTCACCGCCTTTCTACAGTACAAGGCCGGTGCGAGAAGTTGTCGGTCGCAATGGGTGGATTCAGAGCGTTTGTAGGGGTAGGTGAATCTTAAAGCTTGAGGCTTGGATGTCGAGCTTGCTCTTCAATAAGAGGAGGGAGACGCAGAGAGGGCGGGAGAAGCTCTGGCGCTAAACTCAAGCTCTGTGTGGCTCGCTCCATCTTGCGAGGGGTGAGCTAGCTGGGCAGGTTGTGACATCATTCTCGTGAATGCTGACGGCCGTGTTGTGGAAAGTGGCAATCACACCCAGCTGATGCAGCAGAAAGGAGTGCAATTTGGTCATATATGTGCTTCAAGGCTTGAGCATGTTTCCTTCAGACACTGTCCAGTAGCAGCTAGCTAGATCAGTGGTAGATGCCCCAATTGTTGCGAAAAGCTGTTGCGCTCTCATGGCTTCGTTCTTTCCTGTGGCGCCTGGGCAAACAAGTGTGCAAACAAGAACAAACGACAAACGAGCTGCGCCTGTTGAGCGCAGAGGGCTGAGGCCATCAGACTCGAACCTGCACTTGCCCTGTTAACTCGGCAGACTTGGTGTTTCGACCTAGCTTCAACCCGGCAATGTTGGCGTGTTGAGAGGCCGTGGGGAGCTGTGCTTGTCATCCAAGGTATTACAAGCTCCAAATGCAGTCGCAGAAATGAGGCATGGCATGCCGGAACATTAGCATTCGGATCTTGCTTGCACTCCGTGCAGAGATCCTTTGACCATCTTTAACCCCCCTTTATGACCGTTTTCGCTTGCAGGGGGGTTTCCACTTTGTGGGACCCCGGTTGCACAGCAGGCACAGCATGCATGTGAGACCGCCCAGCTACCTGGTCACCTGCGGCGGGAGGGAGTTCACGATGCGGCGAAGCCGCCTCAGGAATCCCGTTTTTCATCCCAGGACCCTGCGGCAAAGTCGCATCACACCCTTGAGGTCGATCTTCCCCTTTTCTGTTTCAGGTCCGCTGCTAGCCTGCTAGCTTTTAGGACATGTCTTCAGAGGAGGTATCAGAGTGTCGCCGCCTTTCGATTTCAAGCTCAGACTTGAGGCTAGGGCCGTCAGTAGTGACAGCTCTGTGGCAGACACCTCTGCGACCGGATCAGAAAGGAACGGGACTTGCACGGGGCAGCGTGCAGTGGCCGCATTGGCCATCATATCCAATCGTTAAAGGTTATGCCTCTCACAAATGCGAAGAGCAGTGAGGCAAGTTCTCGAGTGCAGGCCAAGGCCAAGGATGTGTGCTTGAGAAGCCGCATACTACACACACATGCACCTACCAAACCCATTCTCCATGTAGCATTTGAATTACAAAGGAAGCAGACAGTGAACCCGGACCACAGCAGTTTTGAAGCTGTGCCCGCAGCTGTTGCCCAGGTCGCAGCTGGTCGCGATCTCGATTGTTGTTATGCTTGGGGAGAGGAGGGGGGAGGACATGTACCTGTGCTGACCCCCAGTCCTTGTGTCACGACTGTACAAACACTCAGGTGATCATGAACAACACAGTGCTGCTGAACCATCTGCAGAAGTCCGGATCTCGATTTAGCGGCCATTCACCAACAGCTCGTCATCACATCTCCGAACTGCAATCCTCCGTAAACCATCCTAAGCTGTTTGTCCTTTCAAGCACCTAGTGCCCGTTGTCTCGACAGCTGCCAGAAACAGAAACCGCGAATCCTAAGCTGCAAGCCCAGAAGCCTTTATCATCTTGGAAACTGAAACCATCGGTCAGGAGCGAACCTCTGATGAAGCAGCTGTTTGATGGACTGCGGCAGAAGGCTGTGACTGGAGTTGAGTGCTGGCCCTTGCTGGTCTAGCGGTCATGTCTGTAGCCAGTTTACTTTGTTTGGGCTCCATGCACAGGCCTTGCGCTTGCTGCATTTCGTAGGATGAGAACCCCCAACGAAGGTTAAAACGCTGCACGTTTCCATGATTTCCGATTTCCACGGGCTCAGTGTAAGTACATGTACGTACCTCTTTGTGTAAGCTGGCACTCGGTTGCCGTAAGAGCGCTTTGGAGTTGAGAGTTGTGTGATTCCTCGGGCTTTCAGGATCTTCAGAGCCTGCTCTTCCTGCAGGCCGCAAGGGAAAACATGGCGTAGTAACGTGTAACGAGTAACGTGGTGTTAGCAGCTGCATGTGCTGCGTGCTCCGACCCCCCAGTCCCAAGAAGGCCCACCTCGATCAGTGCAAAGTGCTGTGACTTGGGGGCGCGATGCGTGCTGTCATGCTTTGCTGGAAGGACGCCTGCAGGTTGGCCAAAGCCATGCCTCCAGGCAAGGATTCCCTTGCCGCATGGGGCCATAAGCTGGGAGATTCTATGGGACAGACGCTTCTGCCATCAACCCTCAACCAGTCAGGTGAGCGGAAGCAGCTCTATGAGAAGATGGTGAAGCTGCAGCCTCAACGCGATTCGAGTTCAATGCAGGATTTAGGTTCTTGAACGTCTTGAATTGCTATGTGAGCATGGAAATGCTATGGTCAAGCTTGCTCAGACATTGAATCTTGAATCTTTCCAGGCAGGGCCTCTTCACGGTTCTGCTCCCCTTTCTATCGTGGGAGGCACGGGCAACAGACTACATTTGCAGCGCCATGGCCACAATTGCACGGCCAGGATACCAGCCCTGGCACGCCTGCAGAGGCCTGGACCAAATGCCTGCTTTGGCAACTCTTTACGGAGCTTTGAGGGGTGGATGGGAGGACGGTGAACGCATCCATCTCCATCACCCTCAGTACTAGCTTAGGGCAGGGACTGGCACGGAATCTGATGCTCCTAAGGGAATGGCCGTGTCTGGACATTCTTCTCTCTAGGGAACATCAGGCGTGCCCGAAGAATGGTATCCCTTCGAGTGCCCAAGCCTAGCTGGACAACGAAACTGAGAGGTCAACGCCCCTAGAGGTAGGTCATGGGTCGACGTGCGTAATCTTGGTGGTGCAGGGGCCATTGCCTCGCCACATGGCCATGGAGGCCAGAAGATGCCGAGGAGATTAGGCTGCATCATTGCTCTTGATATGTAGGCTTTGCTTGGCCACGGTGGTTGCAAGGTGAGCTCAAGAGGTAGCTTCATGATTCATAGCTCAGAAGATCTGCTCCTAAGTTCTCTGCACTGCATCAGTTTGGCATCTCTGCCAGGTCCTTGTACAATCCACTCTTAGTGATGCAGGCCACTTGCGTGGGCCTTAACCAACACAAGTTTTGCGATTCATGGCAGGGTTCACAGAATTCCCCAAACAGCGTGCGCACTCTATGCGGTCCGGACGTTCAGGCAGAGCCTTTTAGATTCAGGTGCTCCCTCGCGCTCAGTTCCGCATTTTTGTGTGGGGCGTTTGTTTCCTTGGCTTCCTAAAACCCTGAACTCTAAACCCTAAACCCTAAAGCCCCAAAGCCTCACAGATGTGTCCAGTTTTGAGGCGGCGCTACCTGCTCACCGGGAAAGAGCCGGGGTGCCTGGCCTTGCCATCGGACAGCGTGTTCATCACGGTCGATTTAGTTTTCTACCTGACCGGTAGATTCCGCAGAACTGTGGAACAGGGTAGCTCAAAGCAACAATTTGCGTATTGCACTGAACTGTACTTAACTGGCTGCTTCTCTCTTTCCATTGGTAGATTCGTTGAATTGTTTTGGACTGGGCTTCTGGTCGGCATTCTGGAGATGGTGTTTCGATGATTGAAAAAATTGCGAGTACGGCCAGGGAGCAGCTTTTAGACGCCCTGATTCTGGCTCTGCACCTTGGCCTGAATGTGACTGTAAGAAGGGTTTTCCAATCAGGGATGCTTGGGTTGGAGGTCGTGCTGTAGGGTTCAAGGATGCAAAAGGGGTTCCGTGTGTCGACCTGAACTTGAGAGATTTCGGGGCTTGGGGGGCCGAGTTTTAGGGCACGGCTGGGCAGGCAGAACTCGGCTCAGAAGTCCCAGTCTTCGAGCTGATCCATGCCTTTTTTATGAGCCAGAGCTTATCAAACCGAGAAGCCGATGACACTGAAGTGCCGTGCTTGATCAGAAATCCATGTTAAAAGGGTCGGTTGGGACGCGGGCCAGCGCCGAGCCTGTCAGGTTCCGGGATTCGGACCATGGTGCTGGGAGCTCACACGTGGAACTTGCAAGCAACAAAGAAGGCATCAGAGTGACGGCAATCACACTTCCGCGCTGCAACTTGTTTAACATTTGCACCGTCGGCATTGGTTTTTTCGAAGGCATGTGAGGCTCTCGCGGAGTCTGGCCTGTCGGAAATGTTCATGTCCAGCTTTGCTTGCTTGCATGGCGCTGGCATGCACAAACACCTATCCTCACCCCTGAGATCCTTTTGCGAGGTCCAGAGCCAAGTGGCAGATGTGCTGCAGCTTGCTCAGACCTCGGACGCACACTTTTGTTCCAGACGTATGCCTAGGCCCTAAGGCAGGTTTCAGTTTGGGGTCTGATTGTGGTCCCCTCCCACTTGAGCAGAAGTGGAACCTGGGGCCCTAAGACAAGCATCCGTGATGCACACGCACTCACCGTCCACCCAGCATGCCCCGCCACACACGAAACTTTTTTAGGTGCCGTCAAGCCTATGCGAAGCCCCCTCCCGCCACTTGTTGTTACATGTTTTCACCCTTTCGGACATCGAGGCCGAGGGCCCCCTGAACAAGAATGGGAAGCCTGTTTGAGGCGCTTTCCGAAATTTCCAAGCACACGCCCTGGCTCCAGGTCATGGACACTACGCAGCTCAACTTGAAAGCTAGTACGGACCTCAGGAATACTCGAGGTGCTCGAGAAGGTTGCTGTCGTGTTTTGGGAGTTTCTGAAGCTCGTTCAGCTTGATCCTAAAGTGGTCTGAGTCAGATCCTCTGAGCCGCGTGTTGCGTGGGAACCTCAACCACGCTGGGGTTACTGTAGGATTTGCGATTGAAACCAAGAAAGCATTCTGCACTTTTGCGTCACAGTTTCCCAGATTTTCTCAGGTGAAATACTACTAAAAGCCCTCTATGACAAGCAGCTGGTTAAGCGCATCGCCACGCTGGCGAGATTACCCCTTGCATTGGGATCCGCTGCATGCTGTGGCTGCTATGCTGGTCACGGGCATCCGATGGCTTCATGTGCTTCATGCATCGTACTAGTAGCTAGTACCGCCCTCTCTTTTTAAAAGAGACTGCTGGACTCCAAGACGGGCCTTCTTTTCGCCTGGCCTAGATTCTTCTCAGCTTCTGTCCCAAGTGGCAGGCCTGGCCCCTGATCCAGAATGCAGCGGTGCCAGCCCTACATCTCTGCGTGTGCGTGGGCGCGTGCGTGTGCTTGTGTGTTTTTGGTTGCGTGTGTGCGTGCGCGCATGCGCATGCGAAAGAGGCACACTTTTTTCCGTTGTCGTCTGAGCTGTCGTGCGGCATTGTGCTAAATGCTTCATTCGCGAATTCGTAAGGGCTTTCCCTTTGATGCTGATCCCTCACCTGTCCCCACAGTTTTTGAAACACATTCAGGACGACAACCCGCGTCTTCGACTCCTCAGCCAGTCCGAGGCGTACGCGCCAACCTCAGATTCATGACCTTCTCCCAGGCCGAAGAGAACACATCCCAGTCTAACAGGTGCACAGGAAGCAAGACAACCCGCTTCGAAACGAAACGTACTTCGAAGCGCAGAACGGCACAGAATCGACCTCACCAGCTCCGACTTGTAGGCGATCCAGG